GAATATGTGGTTAAAAAATAAGAAACAATTTTGGGTTTTATGTGTAATAATATTTTGTTGAATAATGTGTGGTTAAAAATGAGAGAGGTGAAAATGTATTTTGAAAATAATAGGAACCAAACAAGGCCTAATCTTCTCTCAAAATATTTCTAGTTTGGACTTGATCATGGGATCAAACGACTTGAAACATAAAATAAGAAAGAACTAAAACCTTTTTGACTAATACATAAAAGAGAACTCACTGATCGTGCGATTGGCTTTGGTTGGCTAACATGTTTTTTCGAAATTTCACCCGTCTCATCATCTGACGACGAGTCATTGTCAAGCCCCATAGCCGAAGGACCACTTCTAACAGGCCACAAAAAAGATCGAATTGGTGGAGTTGTGCTGCCTGCCAATGATCTTGCTGACCTGCAGAATTATGTGCCAGGAAAATTAATTTTGTCCGTGGCTAGACAAGTTGACAATAAGTTGCAACAGACAGCATAATAATAATAATAATAATAATAAGACAATGTTAAAGTTATACTAACGTGTAATAATAGACATCCCTTCGGGCTGTTGCTCGTGGATTGCGTTTAGGTATTGGAATGGCAGAATCTCCTGGCTTTGGTGATTTCAGAGGCTTTTTCACATCTTCAACCTAATCCAAAATTACTCTTTAGTAATCATTAAATTATAAATAAAGTCAATAATTAAAATTAACTCTTAGTTAGAGGTCGCAACAAAGTGCAATTTCCTTAAAAAATAAAAAAAATTAGTCAAGAGTTTCATTTGCTGAAACGTGTCTGAAATAGAACATTTTCTCGTGCTCTCTATGAAATTTATATAGCCCTTGATTGATAAAATCTTAGAATAATTTTATCAACTGTTCAATCGGTCAAATTCAATCTCAACCACTTCATGGATCTATAACTTTTAATGAACTTTTCTATAGCATATTTATTAATTTTATCAAAATTTGCTAATTCTTTTAGTAAAAACTTTGTCAAACAACTCCATATAAGCACACAGATGAGATAAAATACAGAATGGCATGCCTATAACAAAATTAAATGATACCTCTTGAAAAGAATCTTTGTGTCGACCTTTCCAGCATCTATAGAAGTGATCATAATATAAGCTCTGCAAAACTAGTATCACTGTATTTGCTGTGTAGAGCTGTACAAGTAAAATAAATAAATAAATTGAAGAACATGAATAGCTAGAAGCTGTTTATAATGCACTTGTTTTAGAAATTCCTTATAAGATTTTTCTTACCACAGCTGTGTAGAATTGGGTGGGCAACTGCATCAAGAAAAAAAGGATAATAAAAAAGAATTAATTAGTGCGAGAAAAAGGGGGTAGAGAGAAAAATCATTAAATGAAAATGGAGAAATATATATAGTGACACTCACCGTTGCTGGTTCAAGAAGGCAACCCACTAGATTGAATATGTCACTGCACCAAGAAAAGTCCTGAATAAATTTCTACGCCCAAATTAGAAAATTACACACGCTTGCATAAACTGTGTTTTAATTTATAGAAATCATTGCAAGAAAGAGAATTTTAAAATCAGAGAAAGTAAAAGAATAGAAATATATAGACCCTGCAATCCAAGTGAGAAGAAAGAGAAGAGAAACGCCATGGCTGGACTTGGTGCGGAAGTTAGTAATAATTTGTGGGATTTCTGCAAGTCCCCAGCACACTAAGCTTACAAGTCCAAAACCAAAGGATAATTCATCTCTTATGTTGCAGAGGCAATCCTTGAAATACACTTCCACCCAACCGATGCATGGTTTGTTCTTCTCCACACAATATGACAATGAATTCTTCACCATGAGCTTCATCTCTCTCTCTCTCTCTCTCTCTCTCTCTCTCTCTCTCTCTGTGACTATTAAAAATTTCTCTGAATGAATATTGTGGATTTTATATTGAGTTTCTGTAATTTTAACCACATGAAGGTTCTTGGCGTTACATTCATTTTGACCACATAATGATTCTTCATATAGAGGACGTAATAGATAAAATTTTAAATTTCACGCTGAGACAAACCATGACTACACATGCACGACAAAGAGTGCATAAACAAACCTATGGAGTGTATTTATCTCTCATAAAAAAATAGATAAATATAAATTTAGAAGCCCACAACTAATCGAAATGGGGCTATTGTCCAGGACGGAACCAAGAGCGTAGAGTTGTGGAGGAAAATTTCACAAAATTTTAATTGTGTGGGAAAATTGAAAATTATAAGGAATTTTTCTGAAAATCTCGTGTAAAATCTTGAATTTCAAATTTAGTGTGGGGGGCAGCATATCCCATTGTCCCCATTGTAGATCCGCCCATTCATTGCAATGGACCAGGTTAAATATTAAAACCAAGTCCAACTTGAAAATAATAATTTTCAGCTGAATTGAATTTTTCCTGAAGAATGAATATGAGTCATCTTATTCAAGCCCTAATTCATACTTCATATACGTTTGTTCATAAGATGAACTAATAAAATTGTTACTATATTGATCTCTTTTAAACACGTTATTCTACTCCACTTATCATAAACTGTTTAAATGTATTTAGTTATAGCCTTTGTACTAGATAGGTTAGCGTAGTTTGTTCTTTTTTTTTCCCCCCCTTAGTAGACTATTTAAACCCTCTTTATTCTCGTTCACAAGGCCCAAACCAATCTAGGAACTCCAAGAATGTCGGTGATGATGATTTTCATCTTTTTGTTTGAATCCTTCTTCTAATTTTCATTTAGGGCATTCTTGCATTGATTATGTTTCCGCTCAGAAAAAATTTTTTTTTTTTTTTTATATATATATATATATATATATATATATATATATATATATATATATATATATATATATTTCATAATTGAAATTGGTTTAAAGTCCCCAAAATCTCAAGGCCGGCTTTGGAATTGGTTAATAAAACCAAAAATATTGGTTAAGTATAACTTGAAAAGTGATTCATTGTCAACTTTGATCAAATATTCAGACTTCATCCGATGATCAAATTATAAATGTAAATAGACCAACTTATTCTACTTTTCGAGTAGATCATTGTGGTATATTTGAAAGGCAAAAATCAATTTCGGATGAAAAAGAAATTACAGTCCAAAATTGGAAAGAAAGAGGCAATACCGTCGATCGCCTGACGCTAGCTTGTTGCTCAAGTGGCGGTCCAAAAAAGTGCGAACAACAGGCTCACTATTTTTTCAGCTCGAGCAAGGCTTAGGCAGAAAGCTAGCTACGTTAAGTGCCACGACCCTTGGCAAAGATTGCTGAGTTTTGCGCATTTCTTCACTCACAACATTTTTCCTTCTATAAATAGGTACATTGGGACGTCATTTTATTCACACCAATAATATGCAATCATATGCATAACATTCTCGCTTCTCTCTCAACCAAATTTTGCAAAAACTTTGCATAAAATTCTAATTTTCTTTCATTTGCATCAAGGAGTATGTATACCATATTTTTGGTTCGTTGTTCTTGTGTGTTGAAGTGCTACTCACATAAGAAGAAGTCGTTGTATTTTGAGAGTTGATTGCCATGAAATCGTAGGCATTATTGTGTGACAAAATCGACTTAAGGACAAAGTGCTCAACAAAACTTTTTTGGAACCAAGTAGTTTAGATGTGATCTTTGTGAAAAATATACTCCCGATAAAGAGACAATTCTTGATCCTCTCTGATAGCAGATTATGGGTGAGGAACTCTCTAAAGTGCATAAAACTGATACTTGAGATCGATTATTTTACCATTTGGTAAACATATTATTGGTTCTGTTTGAGCCTATAATAGGATCAAGACGGCTACAAAACCAAATTAGTTGTTAAGGAATTCATATAAGCATTATGGTATTGATTGTGAATAGACATTTCCTCAAGTTGTAAAGATAACTGATGTTCGTACAATTATTGCAACTGATTCTTTTCATTGGTGAAGAATTACTCGCATGAATGTTAAGAAAAGTTTATATGGTATCGTAAGATTCACAATAACATTCATATAAATTTAAACTATTAGAGATACAACGATTAAGAAATAGAAGTTAGGTATCCAAACATTAAATTATCCATAACCTAAGGGCATCTACCATAATATCTGAAAAAAAGAAGCACATGAAAACAAGGAAGCAGTCAAGAAGCGGCGACGATGCGCTGCAAGAAAATGAAAGAACAGTTTTATAATTTCATGTATATCTTGTAGGACGAATATGATGATTATCCTATCCAAACCCATATTCTTCTTCAGTTCTGTCCACTTATAATTCATTTCTGTGTCATATGCTTTACTGCTGAATTCTGCGTTGTCTGTCTTTCTCTTACAGCTCGCCACGTTCACTGCAACGCATTGTAATGCTGAATTCCTATACTCCGAAATAGAATGTGCACATGCCCCAATATTGTTTAGATTGTTGGATCGGATCTACAATATAATATTTTAGTACAATTTTGTGCTATAATTTCACCCACCAGTGTCAATATTCGAATTCAATAGAGATCTATTTTAATTATTAAAAATAATAATAATAAATAAACACAAACATAATAATGTTAAAATAAAAAGTAAAAAAATATATATATATATAAATTTTTTTTTCCTGAAATTTCAATGGAAGCTTCGCCATTGAGTTTTATAGTATTCATCTTATTGTTCAACTTTTAATGACAATAAATTTCAACAACTCGATAAATCTAAATTTGAAGTGTTTATGTATTTTATAGAAAGAAAGATATCTTGTTTTTTATTAAATGGAAAAATTGATAAAAAAAAAATAAAAAAAAAATTATAAATCACATGACTTTTGAACTTTTAATTTTTATATGATCAGAACTATTAAATCTTACTAGTAGAATATCATTTTAATTTCATTTAATTTGGAATTAAAATCTTCAAGAGTCTATTCAAATCTCATATGTCTAACAATGGAAGACATTTTAGGATTGCTAGCCCAGTTATAATCTGCATCCAGCCGACCACAGCGAGATAAAGTGGTGAAGTTGGCTTTGAATGAATGCAGAATGAGCAAATCTTCATAAGGTCAATCTGTCTAAACGTAGGTAGTGTGCATCTTTATAGATATGACTATTTTTTTTCGAATCTTTATCTGAAATAGTGCTCAGATCGTTAAGTCTTATATTTGGTTAAGAATTTGGAAGTCTTGACATCACCCAATGGAGAAAAATTAAATTTGATATCATGAGGGTGAACAATCGGTTCATGTATTATCCAAAGCAGTTCAGCTTGTTGGCTTCATAAAATGGACCGGACTAGCCAACCAAAGCACGATCAAGGGAACAATACATAACTTTTACATATAAAAATTACATTTCAAATCAAAAACTTGTCAAACTATTTCAAAATTCTGCTGTTAATTCCAATTAATAATATATATAATATATAATGAATTGGAATTCATTATCCCCGCTCAATTAATAATATCCTCACCCCATTCACTTCCATCCAATTAATAATATATCAATTAATAATATCCAACCTCATCCCACGAACCCAACCCCATGCCAGAAATTCAAATCTCTCTACACCATAACCCAAACAGACCCAACCACGTCCTACCTCACTGTAGAAAACTTCAAAAATAAAAAATGCTCTCTCTCTCTCTCTCTCTCTCTCTCTCTCTCTCTATATATATATATATATATATATATATATATATATATAATTTTAGTGGTGGTGGTAAGGTGGCACTCTATTTAGAAAATAGATTTGCATGGTGGCAATGATGTGCATTGTAGGTGATTAAAGTGCATTGGAGTTTATCTGTTTTGTGGTGGTGGTGCGGGTAGCAATGTTTTGAGCACTGTGTGGTGGTGGCAGTATTGCATTATAGCTGACAAGATTTGTGATTAACTACGTTATATATGACCAGATTTATTGTTTGTGCTAATTGTGACCAGACTGTCTGTGACCAAGTCAGTGTAACTTGTGACTATATGTAACAAAGTCACTGACATATATTATCCGTGACTAATCGTGATCAAATTCGTGATTATTTGTGACCAAATCAATCTAATTTGTGACTTACTATTAATCTGATCATAGACAATCACAATGAAAAAAAAGATTTGATCACATCCAGTCATAATAAAAATACATACTTTGTCAGAAGGGTCACTACAAAAAAGTTGCACGCACAAAAGACCAGTACCACAATCCATGGCCACTCACCACCACCACCATCACTCTAATATACCACCACTACCACCTTCAACTCAATCCACAATAACAATCACCATCACCATCACTATCACATCCCCCAACACCTTTAACAAACACCAACTACCACCACTACCAGCGACATCACACCATCATTAGAACCACTACAATCGTTGCTAAACCTTAAAAACCACCATCGGTAACAAATCTTAACCACAAAATTTCACAAGCCAACAAAAAAAATGGTTTTTAGCTTTCCCAAATCTAAAAGCAACGAACACGTTGTGTGCATTCTCTTGCATTTTCTTCAAGCACCGTCGGACCACCATCAAACCTCCATGCCAACCAACCATTCCCCAGATCTACAAGCCCAAGCACCCACCATGAAACCACTATTCCTTTGACGACCCACCATCTCAATCAGCCACTCCCTAGTTCTGTTGTTGAACCAC